CCCAGATCCGTTTCTAAGAATGGGAAAATACTGACTACAACGACGAGCCAAAGTTTTCGCATGTTCAATGTTTATTACCACGGTTAGATTTCCACAAATAATACATGCAAAAAATGTTTCCTAGCCTACCAAAATAATACTAATTTAAACTAATTTTGACCTGTTACATTTAGTTCAGTAAATCGTTATTTCCTGCTGTTATGGTTACAATATTTTTCAATCAAACTGGTGGATTGGGAGCTATCTATGAAATTGATTGCGTGCATAAGACGTAGCTGTTTAGCTCATCTGCAACGAAACTGCAGGCAACTGTTGAACCCAACAATTATGTCTTAGAAACGGCTTGATGAATATGCTGCCAAATGAACAACTAAAAAATGTAAACAAATGAAATTACATTGGCCTCCTCACATTTTCAATTCAGAGATTCTCCAAATAATTATCATATCTACAGATAAGATAGGGAGGACAGAATCGGCGGTGGCGTACTCTTCGCTGTAGACTCTTTAATACCATCTGAAGAAGTTAGTCTTCCACACATTGATTCAATAGAATTCAAATGCATTCGTGTACAGGCTGGAAAAGGGTCTATTTACTTAGCTCTATGCTATATCCCTCCCCGATCTGACACATTGGTGTATTCACGACTCATCTCTTTACTGAAATCAGTTAATTTACTGACTAATACCTGTGATTCAATGATTGTGTTGGGTGATTTTAATTTGCCAAGCATATCATGGAACATCATCCACAATGATATCGTACTTTCGCGTCTAGTGCGTACAACAACGTATTTTTAGAGGAGATGGCTGAACTCTGCCTAACTCAGGTGAATGTACTTCACAATAAGTTTGGTAAAGTATTAGATCTTGTTTATGTTGATGCATCTAAGTCCGTTGTAAAAAAGCGTGATGCACTTGTTTTGCCCGAAGATGTCTACCACCCTGCTATGGAGGTATCTTACGAAGTTATAAGTGATGGTCAAAATTGCAGTACCCAAGCATACGAACCAAATATTCGCTTTGATTTTTTGAAAGCCTACTTTAAAAAGCTTATCAAAGAACAGTCTAAATTGTCGTGGCCTGCATATAAAGAAAATATTGAACAAAGCGTTGCACTTTTTAACTTTACTTTACATAAATTATTTGAAAAGCATGTGCCTAAACGCATGTATGTTCCTGAAGAACAAACACAGTTATGGTTCACTGAAGAACTGAAAAGTTTGAAAAACTGAGAGTCGCGTTATTTTAGATTACACAAAAAAACCCGGTTTACACTCATACTATGTAAAATACTCACTTTTGCGTCATAAGTTTTTTGAATTAAACAAAAAGTGTTATCAAGCTTACTTGTGTAAAATCAAACGGCGTATAATATGTAACCCCAAATAATTTTATGACTACGTAAACTCCAAGCGAAATGTACGTGGATTTCCTTCCGCCATGAAGTATCAAAATACCGTCTCTAGTGATAATCAAACAATTTCTAACATGTTCGCTCAGTTTTTTAAACCCAATTATTCCATTAACTCACATGCTAACATTGACTATCCTTTTAAACTATGTCCAATGAACTCAATAAATATCCCAGTAATATTTCCCGACGATGTAGAAGTTTATCTGAAATCTTTAAAGCAGTCATTCAGTTATGGTCCTGACCAGATCCCTACTTGTATTCTTATAAATTGTGCTGATTATCTCTATGAACCGTTAACAGCGTTATTTAATTTGTCTCTTAAAGAGGGCGTTTTTCCAACTATATGGAAGGAATCGTTTATAACCCCGTTACATAAAAGCGGTAGCAGACCTTCAGTGGAGAACTACCATGGAATAGCTAAGCTTTCTGCAATTCCTAAATTATTTGAAGCAATTATAACAAATCAGTTGACGCATTCCATCTCTTCTAGCACTTCATATAGTCAACATGGATTTTGCAAGGGCAAATCACCTTCTACAAATTTACTTGAATTAACATCCTATCTCTCAAAAGCATTTAGTGAAATCAAATCTGTTTATGTTATATATACTGACTTCAGTAAAGCATTTGACTAAGTGTGCCACTCGTTGCTCATTTATAAACATGATCTTCTTGGTCTTCCACCTAATTTTCTACGCTGGATCTGTTCATACCTCTATGATAGATCACAGAGGGTAATGTTTAAAAATACCATCTCTGACGTCAATGATGTTACTTCAGGAGTCTGGTTCTGTTCTTGCTTCTTATAAACGGTATTTCTACAGATATACAGTTTTCCAAAATTTGAATGTATGCAGATGATGTAAAGCTTTATAAATCGAACGTTTAAAGAAAGGTCTTTGCCACAATCAGACTTATACAGCATAGCTTACTGGTGTAAAGTAAATCGTATGCCTCTAAATCTTAAGAAATGTAAAGTAATGTGCTTCTCGCGAAGAGCTGTTCATCCCTCTTCTTATACAATAAGTAACCATAACCTGGAGCAGCTATGCAATTTTGTGGACCTTGGTATCACAATGCATCCTAAGCTTAACCCTGGCATTCAGTAAGCGGTCTCTAGTCACTAATAGTGACTTTTGGTGGTGAACTTGGATTTTGAGACTATTTGGTACTCAGTACGCTGTCTCACGTCTCTAGTCTCAAAAATAAGTCACTAATTTGTCAGCTGGCTAAGAGCCGGTCGCAAAAATAGAAGTATGGAGGAAAAACTTATTTCTTTCCATTTTGTTAAAAAAACGCGAAAATGAAGCGAAGAAATTTATTCAACAAAAATTTCATTAGGAAATAAACCAAAATGCTTTAATATCATACAAATGTATTGAAAAAAATGTAGTTTTTTGTTTTTTAAACATTGCAATCTAAAGATTGCTAAAAAAAATAAAACTAATAAAAAAAAATAAAAAATACTAATTAAAAAAAAAATTAAAAATCCTCTACGGCCGAGGAGGACTTGAACGCGGACCCTTTCGGTTGCCAGCCTAATGCTTTTACCACTCCGCCATTGCGCCTCTTTGAGCGGCGCGGGCAAAAGACATACATAAACACTGTCAGCTGATTGTCTGTGTTTACTTTCACCACACGTTTTCGGTGAACTTTTTGTGACTCTCTCCTTCTGAATACCCAAATCGTCTCAAGTCACAAAAATAGTCACTAATTGATTATCTCAAATTTAGTGGCTTGAGATGAGACTGAATTACTGAATCCCACGGTAATTTTAATCTTCACATTAATGTGACAGTCAACGAGGCTAAAGGTGTACTTGCATTTGTGAAACGATGGTCAAAATAATTTTGTGACCCTATATTACTAAAACCCTGTTTACAATATTTGTTAGACCGATTCTGGAATACGGTTCGGTGGTTTGGAATTCAAGGTATCAAATTTACTCAGACAAGATAGAATCAACTCAAAAACAGTTACTACCATTTGCTTTAAGAAATTTCCGTTGGGATTCTTAATATTACTTTCCGCCTTATACGATCCGATTAAAACTTATTAATCTTCCTACACTTGCCAGTCGCAGGCAAATGCATGGTGCAATTTTTATAGTTAAATTACTGACAGGCTCAGTTTCAAGTCCGCTTCTTCTGGGTGAAGTTAGCTTTAATGTTCCCTCCCGGGTATCAAGACACTATTGTCCCCTATTTCTGAAAGCTTGTAAAACTAATTTTGAATTGCACGACCCACTCCGTTGCTTATGCCAGGATTTTAGCTCTCATTCCAGCACGTTTGATATATCAGATCGGCTTTTCTTGTAGTAAGAAAGCGGTATTCTCCTCTCTCAATAAATGAATTATTAACATAAAGACATAAAATGAATTGATGGATTTAGTTCTGTAGCTGAACAATTTTAGATCTGGACACTTAACAAACTCCTGAATATCGTGACTCGGCGCAAAAAATTGAAAATACTGGTTTCCGTACGTTATGCGGAGGGTAGAAACCGTTGGGATTATTATTAAATAGAGACAGTTGCGTCGATCCTATATAGAATTCAACGCTGAGCTGCCGCCGTGTTGAAAAAATCGTTCAATGATATAAAGAATTAAACAATGTATAATTGTACAGCAAACATCTTAAAAACATATATTTAGAAACGTAGTATTATTATAAAATATTTTAGTTACTTTAGCACATCAGTAATATAAAATAGAATAAATGTCTTTAGGCTAAGCCCATCACGTTGAGTTCAGGTAGCACTGGAAAATATGGCGGAAAGTTACCAACTGTTGAGCTGAGCGGAACTACTCAACTGTGCGTTTCTAAGACAAATAGCCAACGGTTAGGCAACAGCTACGTCTTATGAACGCACCCATTAAAAATGTCTCAAAAACTTGTATTTGTTGGTAAACTCCGTCTTTAAGAAAAATTTCTATTTCCGGCTTGTTTGAATTCTCGCTTAATGACATATAACTGAAAATTTAGAAGTTATAAGTTATTTTTAGTACAGTCAAGTTATTGTTGAAAATTAGTCATCGGCATAGTTGTCAATTTACTTTGAATGCTAAGAGACGACCTACTACAGTTCGGAAAACTTAAAATTTGCAAACTACTTGGTATTATTAAATGCACGTTTATGTAGCTAAAAAAATAATTTTTCAAAGTGACAAGAATAAAGGAAAATTTCTTGCTTGGAGGATGAGCAACCAACTGTTAAAAATGTTATAATAGCTCGTTCATAAATAAAAAAAAATTTCCTTCAATTTACGAATACTTATAGGAACAGGTATCCAAATTTACACTGAGGAAAACACGAAGTATCCCCCAAATTTTAAGGCGAAAATGTATCCAATTGGATACATATGTATCAAAACGGCAACACTGCCCACGTCTGTTCATAAGCAGGGTTCATGATGCAATAATGAAAGGTGTTATACGTTGGCAACTTCTCGCTCTAATCCGCCGTCTTGAACTACCTTAGGAGAAACTGTGTTGTTTCTTTGCTATTTTCACTGAACATTTCCCAAAATATTAGAAAAAAATTCTAAACAAGCTACATTGATTCAATTTTCGTTGTTCGTTTTGTTCTTATTCGCTGACATTTGTTTTCTAATTGCGTGAAATTTGGTAAGTATTGTAATAAAACCGAATTATTTTACAAATAAATTATAATTTTGCATTTATTAGGTCATTTCCTTAGTGTTTTCCTAACCGACCTGTGCTGGTATTGTGATTAAGAGCTAATGCACGTAAGTTACAACATATTATTTTGACTTTATTGATGAACCAATCCATTTGAGCTCTTTGTTATTTCAAAACCTAATGAACCATTTATTCGCAGATTTTTCGGACGATTCTGCTGTGCTGCGTTCCTGCTCCGCCTGTATATTATAGTGTTGCGTTCCTGTTGCGCCTTTGCATTAGTGTGTGCGTTGTGATTTAGACACGTTGAAGTAAGTTGAAACCAGGTTTTTGTTTGTAAAAAACCTAAAAAGCCATTTATTTGCAGATTTTTTGTATGCTTCTGCTGTGCTGCGTTCCTGCTCCACCCGTGTATTAGATTGCTGCGTTCCTGTTAGCATACATATCATCGCTTAAAGTACAAAACCGCGTAACTGACATTTGCTGCTATAAATTGGATTCGCTCACACACGTTTTTGGCTCAATCCTTATCCATTCTTCCTGAAATATACTAGCCAAAAATGCGATTGCTTTTTACAAAAAGATAACCATTTTGAAATGTGAGTGTTTTTACTCTCTAGAAATAAATTTATGCAACCTCGCATACGTGGGTTTGCATTATCTCTATACGCGGTTTTGCAATTTATTGATACATGGTTTTGTACTTTAACCGACGATATGTATGTAGATGTATGTACATGCCCTGCAAACCAAAGTTCCCGAAATCTTAAGGATATCGTTAGAATTATCTCGTTTCTGTAACGATTTTTTTACGAATTTTCAAAGAAAATTATATGAAGTGGTTGACACGATCTCGTAAAGAAATTTCTGTACGAAAAATAAAGAAAATTCTGGAAAAATTCTGAAAGATATTCTTCACATAGCAGCATTATTGTCGTTGCTTCACAGATTTTCTTCCGAAATTTCGTAAAAGAATGGAAGTGTGCGTAATTTATTTCATTTTAGAAAATTCCGCAAAAATTCGAGTTAAATCTTAACGAATTCTTTAAAATTTCTTTACAATGCAGAATACTCTGAAAGAATGGTTTGCAGGGTGTATATCACATATATTGACTTAGATATGTATACACCACTAATGGTGTACATAATTTTTTTTATATTGAAACTAGATATGTATATAGTACATATTTTATTATTATTATTCGGTTCAAAAAAGTCCTATCTCAAATAAAAATGCTTCGAAAATGTGCTGAGATAGGGCGTTCTTCAGCCAAATTTTGAAATAGGGCGTTGAAAAGCTTTCTGATATCGGGCGTTTTCGACCTGGCTGCCGAGATAGGTCGATCTTCTACTCAGCCATCGATATATGGTCGAAGTTTTCGTTATATGGAAGGCGATTAAACACGATTTGTTTTTAATCGATTCTAAAAAAATTAAGGTAATTTTTAGCCACTTCAAACTTGCATATAATTAGACTAAAATTGAAGTGGCTATAAAACTGAGTGCTCAAAAAAATTCTAACACTTCTAAGAAAAAAGTTTGAATTTTGGGTGAAAATTTGTTGTATTTTTTGTAGTTTTCTACTAAGTTTTAAAATTGGGTTTATATGGGTTTTGTTAGAAATTCAACTTTACTTTTGTTGCAAATTCTTAGTAATAAATAAATTAACATGAGAGGGAAATAATATCACTTTGAAATGGGGTTGCTATTGATATGACCGATACTGTATGTATATAATAAATTTTGTACAATTAAAAAAGTGGATTTACTAAAATGAACACAACGTATTAATTACAAATTCTGAAATATGTCGTTAATTTCAAAAACAAATAAATAAAACTTTAAAAAGTAGTCAATGCTTGCTGTATGACACGAACTTGGATATACGTGGACTTGGGTAATGTATAATTCCTTATATGATTCCTCAAAGTATCCCTTGTATAACACTGTGGAACACAAAAAAACTTTAGTGCGACTATATCAGGTTTGATAGCTGTTGGCCATACCAATAATGCCTCATTCTAAGATTTACTAGATCAATTCGTGTTCTCCGAGAAAAAAAATTTTCACGATCAAAAAATCTGAAACATTTTTTCTCCAAATTTTGAACATTTATCGTTTTTGGCCTTTATTTTGTTGAAAATACCATACAAAGAAAATATAGGGCAAAAAACAAGAATTTTCAAAATTTTGGCGGCTATACTCAGATTTTTGAATCGTGACATTTTTTTTTCTCGAGAACACGAATTGATCTAGTAAAACTGAGCGTGAGGCATTATTGGTAAGGTCAACAGCTATGAAACCTGATATATGCGCACAAGAAGCCCATATGAAAGAGGGGGACAAAAGATCACACGTAAATGAATTCCTCTTTTTGGCCTGTACAATATAAGGGACACATTTCAAATTCATAAGGGATAATTTTCTTAGTGATGCGGCTCATAAAAGGAATTATATAAGCCATACTGTTCTAGCTGGGTATTCATCAGCTCGAAAATTTTAAGCATATTATCATATTCCTGTGAATAAAAACACGCCCAATTTTATTATTTTAATTATCTACAACTTTATGAGACTAACGAGCCATATATATACCTATTCTGATAATCGGAGCGCTGTTGAGAAGGCATACAATTTAGTACTTTTTTAACTAAAAGGCTTTTTTTTATTCCCGCTTTTCTTGTACTTCCAAAATACAATATTGACCTAAGGTAGTTCGATTTCGAGCTGTCACAACGTACAACACCTTTCATTATTGCATCATGAGCAGGGTTCAGAAAAATTCGTTTTCAAATGATTCAAATTAATTCATTTCATTTGTATTTGCGATCGGTGAACGAATTTTATAACAAGCATGATACAAAAAGAAGGTAGTTTCATTTCAAAATTTTTGACAAAAAATAAGTTTTTGAAGCTTCATAAATTGTACCAAATTATGACCTACCTTGCCACATTGATATCAATGCCACAATACATCAGAGGGTTTAATGATGTGCGTTGGAAATGTTCGGTTATTTGTAAAATGATTTTTTGGTGGGGAGCGGAAACGGAAGGTGCGTGTCACCAAAAACTTACTAGAAAGAGAACAGTATAAACTTTAAGATAATTCACCCTTCGCCTCCCTGCCCCTTCTACAGACACTCGGGGCCCATTTCAAAATGGGGTAAAATTAGCATTTTCGCAAAGAAAAATTAAACTCGTGTTAGGCCATCAGCAGTGGGTACTCTTTTCCATTTTGGTAGCCTTCGGCCGCGCTAGTGAAAATAACCTCATCAGTCCAACTCTGGTTACGCCATCCACAGTATATTTGGGCTAAATTGACCTCCAAATTTACAAAAAAAAGGTTCATATTTTAAACCGAAACCTTTGTTTTAACTTAAAGCTTAGTCCTTTGGCTAGTCGTATATGTTAAAATTTTTTGATTCGGGTCACGGGTTTGAACACGATAACCCAAAATCATTGTACAAATTTGGGATGTTGCGAATGTGGAATTTTAGACATCCGCGGATGCGAATACGTATGCGAATATCTAAAAGCTAACAACCGCGAATGCGGATGTCAAGTATTTTTAAGAAACAATTAGAATCTAGCATAATGGCGAGATCGTTGTTTAAATAGCGCTTACAAAGCCAAACCAGATGTGTCAGGTTTTTCTAAAGCTTTTTAAAAATAGTTCTCCATTGTCATTCCTTTGGCTGTTTCAGAATTTGGGGAATCTGTAACTTCATCAGCGTTTTTCGATTTTAGTTTTTGTAGTTCATTTTTAATACTTTCTTCTGCGACTGGTTTGAACAATCCGTGCCTATAGCGAGCTAAATAGGTGGATATGGAAAATAAATTATTGTTTTCCTGGAATGAAAATTTTGAACAAAATTCTGTTTTCAAAGTCGTGGCTGTCAGCGGAATCGGATAAGAACACTGTTATTTTTTAAAAAAGCACCCCGTTTTTTAAAAACATTTGAGTCTCAGATACTTACGTAATTCTTGTCTTATTAAAGGTCAGACCTATAGTCTTTTCATTATTTGAATATCGCTCCTCTTTAAAGCCAGACGTTGATCATTTCTGCTGGAAATCCCTATTGAAGGAGCTTACCCTTTGACTTTAAATAGCAAAGAAGGGACAGTACATATCCATCCGAAAAAATATTGCCCGAAAAGTAAACAAAATTACTGTTCTTTAATTTTTTGCTAAAAATAAATTCCTCAAACAAACACGTCAAAACAAATCACGAAAATTTGGTTAAGAATTACAGTGCACAGCTTCTTTTTTTGTGTCTAGTAGTTTTTTTAAAATTGGTCCAAAAAAATAATATTAAAGAAAGAAACCAATGCAGGTATTGAAAGAAGAGAAAACAAAAAATATTGTTAAAAAGGCTAGGTTCCCTTTTACGTACGTCAAAGGTCAAGTAGAAGTTGGAACTTGCATGACTGCCCATTGATTGCTCAGTTATATAGCTGAAGAAATAATAAGTTTAAATAGATTTTTGTCTAAGTTGATAAATATGAACAGTTTTGTTACACAAATACTCCCACGACCACAGGCAAAAATATTGGCTACAATTTGTCATTTTGTTTGCCATATATACGTTTTATCGGTGCACTTGCACAACATTCGTATTCGCATTGATTATTGCGAATGCGAAAGCGAATGCGAATGTTAAAATTAATGCGGAAGCTCCGCAGTTGCAACAACCCTGGTACAAATATCCGAACCGTAACCAAACTGTCTTACTTATGCCATTTTCTAAAAACAAAAACTTTCTAAAATGAAACTGCAGTAGTTTTCATCTTATGTGGATAATTCTTGTCACAAATACCTGGTTTCTTGCTTATATTTATGCATATATATTTTTGAGCAGCGCCACACCTTAACAGAAAATTCCGAGAATCCAAAATTGGTACTGTTACAAGTTGCATCCACCCACCCTCTTCCACGGATAACGGTACATCGGTTAGAGGTTTAAAAATATTTTGTGTCAGCAATTTGTCATCAAACTGCATTAAATCGTATTACGTACTCTATCCTCTATCCAAAAAACTTTATTTTCGAGCGTTTGCACAGGTGTATCATATTCCTTCAGTTTGAAAACGCGCAAGACTTTAATGTTTTCATCCAACTTCACTAACTTAAAATTTTTTTTTTACTTTTTCAAGAAACAAAAATTTTTCTGCCAGTGAATCTGGTAGCATGGTTTTAATGAAATGTCATAAACTTATTAAAAGTCAAGTGGTCGGCAACAACAACGAATGTCAATAAATGAAACTACTTTCTATTTTTGTATCATGATAACAAGCATTTGTTTTCGTTGCCTGGCGACGATTGTTTTTTTTTTTTTGTTTTCATTCGGAAGAATGTATTTTTTAATTTTGGTTGCGTTCCATGGTGTAATAATAACAAGGTGTTGTCAGTAACTTAACCTCACTTTTTCGGCAGGTCTATTCCGGTCACGCATTTTAAAGTAGTAGAAAAAGTACTAACTATTTACTACTTTTAATCCGTTCGTGCATACTATTTCAAATTAAATGTAGAAAAATGTTTAATTACAGGCTTATAAGCCTGAATATATGTTTGTATCGTAAGCTCCACACAGGTTGCACATATATTGTAACTTATAAAAAAGTGCAGGCCGTAAAATAAGGCAATTTCCTATAAAACTGTAAGTGATTTTTTAAATAGATTAGTAATAATAATACTAGATTGGCGCTTACACATATGTTAGTGTTTGACCGAGCTTCTCCTCCGACTTGTGGCGTGCGCCTTGATGTTGTCACACAAAGCGGAGGGACCTACAGTTTTACGCCGACTCCGAACGGCGATTGCATTTTTATGAGAAGCTGTTTTTC